TCCTTCCTTCTCATTAGGTGGCCAAAGTATTTGAGTTTCATCTTCAGGATCTGGCCTTCTAAAGAGCAGCCAGCCTTAATCTCCTCTAGGACTGACAGGTTTGATCGCCCTGCGGTCCAAGGGACTCGCAGGAGTCTCCTCAGCACCACAATTCAAAGGCCTCAATCCTTTTGTGCTCAGTCTTCCTTATGGTCCAACTTTCACAGGCATTCATTGCATCTGGGAAAGCCATAGCCTTGACTAAACACACTTTGGTGGGCAGGGTGATGTCTCTGCTTTTTATAATGCTGTCTAGATTTGCCATAGCATTCCTCCCCAGGAGCAAGCGTCTTTTAATGTATTGGATGTATTCAAATCTGCAGTGATATTGGAGCCCAAGATAATTATTTTCTGGGCTCTAAATATAAACTGCAGACATTCATTTGGGAGGAGTCTTGAATTGTATGTATTGTGAGGTCACGAGACTGTTTTGCTGATGAATTCTTCTTTCACAGCAACCAATCTCTCTATTGCCAGGAATAAAATACATGACGCAGCACTCAGATGTACATTGAAATTTGACCTTCACTCACAATGCAGTCGAATATTGTATACCAAAACACTGCATAAAATATGCATGTCCATGCACATTGTACACATTGCTTTAAGAAAACTCCTTCTATCTTTCTAAATATAAATGATTGGTGGAAGGCTGAACAACCACACCCTTTGATATGTATAGAAAAGCCAGTCCATTCTACTTGACTCACATAAATTAGTGAGACTGCCAAGACCTTCTGGGTGCATGACTGAGGAACGTGCTCCAGGCATCGTCCAATGGAAGGCAATGGCAGACAGCAGCTTCCATTGAGCTTCCGTGAGGCTGCACTTCTCCCAGCAGAGGTGAATATTTAGCTGGCCCTAATATTGGAGCTAACCCTGTGCTTCCCCAGCCTGCAGAAACATGTTTGAGAAAGAATAAGGACTACCCAAAAGGAACATATGGATGCAAGAAGAGGAAGAGGTTAAGCAGTAAACCCCTAATTATCTCATCTTGCAGGTGCAAGATTTTTCCATACTTCCTGTGGCAAAAGGAGGTTGTTCCTCTACACCGACAGTTTAATTTTTTTGTATTAAGTCATTTTACAGAATTAAAGGCGTCAAGGAGTGTGTGCACCACCAGCAGGTGATTTGTTTGAGAAAGCAAACAATAGGATTGGCGAGCAAAAACAAAAAGTATTTCAGTGTAATTTCTGCTGATGTTGAAGCACCCTGGAGAGGTCACTGAGGAACCAGTACTATATTTGATGCTGAAATTTCCCCCTTCAGCTGTTAGTGTTCTATGTTGCAAACACAGGTGAAAGAATCATGTTAATTCATTTGTTTGCTTGGACGATAAATGCAGATTCTATATGTGTCTTTGATAATATTGAGGCCTGAATTCTCAAACCAATCCGTGCTTCAAGGGATTCTTCACAACATCTGCAGAAATTCTAGGTTGCCATTTCCTGTGTGTGTCTGTGTCAGAAGAGGAGTGCTGGCTAAAGCTGCCTCTTCCTTGATTTTCCATGAAGAGCAACACTAGAAGGACAATGCATTCACCAGGACTTTATTGCCTCTTTACACTTTCACTGGCTTGCTTCCCAGAGCGCCTTAGCCTGGCCTGCTCTGGCTCCATTCCTTCCTGTTGCTATGACAATGAATGGCATCACCCGCCTGAATGCTCCCCTGTCTCTGCTCTCCATTTGTGCTGGCTTGCCTGCCAGCGACCGCCTTGCCCGTTCTCTTCCAACCGCACATGTCTTAGCTTCCTCTCCTGTCTTCCATCTCCTCTTGCCCACCCCCTCTCTCCTCGTTTATCTGCCCTCATCCTGCACCACTCCACCCAACCCAGCTGTTCCTGCCTCCATCCGCAATCCCGTACAGCTGTGCGCTCACATGCGTCTCCTGGCTGTTGTCTTCTTGTGAGTTGCTCTCCCCACACAGATTCCCAGCCTTGTCCTGTTATCTTTGGCCCTGCTCTGTGGAAGGCCCTAGGAAAAGGGGTGAGCCCCCCTGCCTCCTCACACTGTGTTATGAAAATGAATCCTGAACTCAAGTCCAAACATATGTGCCCAGTGGCTGTCAGACATTTCAGAGCCCTTCTCTGGGCACAAGGGGGTTAGCAATCCTCTGTCCTGAACTCTACCTCATTAAGTGAGGAATAGTTTTTCACTTTTCTTCATGTGGTCAGGAGAAGAGAGGGATGTGTGTGGAAACACAGAAACCTAGAAACAGAACAAGTCAGAAGGGGTCTTCCGGGCCATCTATTCTGACCCCCAGCTCCAGCCAGCTCCGTTCATGACATGCCCACCATGTGCATGTCCAGCCTATCTTTGAACACCCTCACCGATGGGGCCTCTACGACCTCTCATGGAATTTACTAAGCTGATCTGCTTTACTTTGTTTATTGTAAGACTGAGACTATTTTGTAGTGGACAGTATAAAAAGTTATAAATAAATAAATAAATGTTGCTGCTCTTTGGAGCATTGGGCCCAGTGATCCCAGGAGGAGCTGAGACAGTGTTCAAAGCATCAGCATATGAAACATACAGTCAGTTTGGATTTGTGTGTTTGCTTAGACCTCAACATAGCTTCTCCATGAAAGGGAGGCTTCTAAGATACCTGCCTCCTGTGGAAAAGTGCTTTCCCTGCTTTCCCTTCTAATTCTAGTTTCTTTTGCTTGGGTTTTCCCCTTTGTCAAAGACATGGAACTTGTTTGCCATCACCAGGAAAACTTTTCGTGACCTTACACAGCAGAAGTTTCTCTGTACTCGCTTGCTTATTTTTATTTGTTTGTTCTGTTTCTTTACTTTTTTTTTTTTTGTCGCTCATGATCCCAAACTGGATTTCCATAACATTAGACTTCTGGAAACTGCTTCCAGGACTTGGACATATAGATGTACTGGAATTCTTTGGCCTCACCAATTCCATCTTTTTTGGCATTGAAATACAAAGAAAACTTATATTTGGATTTCTTCTTATTGTTTTTACAGTATACATTCCATGTCACCACTCAGAGCAAGGAAATACTTCACTTGCATTATTGGTCAGATCACTGTAATTTGTCTTTTCCTCTGAGAAAGACCCAGAGGATTTTGGAAGGCTACCAAACAGCCATGAAGCAAATAAGG